GTTTTTACCCCTGGGGTTGGGGGGGGGGGACTCTAAGCAGTCTCCCCAGTACCAGCTTAACTTGGGCAAAGGGGAGCAATTGGTCAGAAAGGTCCACCCTGGTCAACTGATTATCTCCCTGAAGTCTATCAAGGTTGAGCAGAAGTGTATGATCATTTTCTTAGGCCCCTTTCACACAAGCATTCAGGTTGTCAACCCTCCATTTGCAAATGAAAAACAGACGACATTGCATCTCTTTGGCAGTGCAGATGAAAACTGATGACCATCAGTTCACATCAGGAAACATCCGTGTCAGTTGAGGTCCGCAATTTGAGACGGATCAGCTCTCCATTTCGACTGACCGGGACTGATGTAACCTGATGTAAACTGATGATCAGTTTATGTCAGTTCAGGTTATGTGTGTTTTTTTGGACTGATGTCGTAATACATTATGGCAAGCTCAGAGCATGCTGAGGGAAAGCAAAGAATCATGGCAATTTACCATATTAACAAAAAGTCCAAAATGAATGTAAACTGAACTGACAATGAATGTGCAAATTGATGTAAACTGATTCAGTTTTCAGTTTTTGCATCCGTGAACCTTGACTGAACTGATGATGCTCGTGTGAAAGGGGCCTTATGCAACTGTAATCAGGCAGATAGGGTAAATTTAATCCAATGTCTATAGTTACCTTTTTACAAAGTATGTCTAATAAATCTTTGTAGCACTGAAGTAACTGAAAACAATTAAGTGCATCTAAATCAAAAACCCATTTGAGTAGGGAGTATTTAAACCCGTGTCAGGTTTTTTGTTTATCACCTGTGTTACATTCAAAAAATCCACAATGGGCAATGGGAAGAAACCTCTCCAAAGTGAGTTAAATCTGCTCTTAGACAATTTGCATTAGAACAAATGTTCCAATTAAAAGATCCCCCTTCTATTCCTGCTTTGATGACAACCCAAAATGTCCCACAGGCACCATATAAAAGTGGACAGGAATTGTAACGCTTCACCACTCTATCCAAAACTAAAAAAAAAAGTTACAAATGTTTTGGCTTCATATATACTTTAATGAACAAAATGTAATTGCAGGATGCTTCTAAAAAGATGTCGGCTGTATAAAAGCAGACTATATTTATCTGCAGAAAACATATGTTGAATGTTTTTTACCAACAGAGCAGCTACATTATAGTGAAGCACAAGTTCTTGTTTTTAGGCTGGCTTTAAATATGTTTATGGTCTAATAATATAGATATAGACACTGTATAGAGCAGTGCAAGAACAATAAAACATATCTCACCATATTGTTTAGTTTATTTCATTTCCATTTTAGTACATATAACATGAGCCTACAGCTATCTAGAACTTTTGTACATGATGCAGTTTCAATCACATGTTTTTAATTATTCTTCAATTCTTATTCTGTGCTGTGTACTCACTGCTGTTCGGCATCTATATGTAAGCTTCTCTGCACCGCAAGGCTTGGATCTCAACTGCGGGGATGCGTACGGTTTGATCAGTGGTCGGTCTCGGAGATACTCTCTCAATTGATTAGAGATGTATATGAGACCAGTAACATAATTTGAACCGTGGGAGAGGAAGTTGGTATGCAGCTATTACAATACCCTGGTAAACACTTGTAGACAGACTTGTACCCCTAGGGGTAATAGTCTGTACAGCATGAGAGTGATATGGTACAAATTTCTACTTGTGGGGTGAGGATTCACAGTGTGTAACAAGTCAGCAATGATTTAACTTATTTGCAAGTATTGTCTTTTGCAGTATGTTTCAATTACGCTATATTTATACACAGTATGCTTCAGTCCATACAACCATTTGCATAGTGCCCAGCAGGGTCAGTATGATACTTGCGGTTGGAGGTATGACAGTGGGGATCTCCCTTAGCTGGTCTCAATGGTGAGGTCTCTTCCAGGATGTTGGATGCTGTGGGTGCTGGTTGGTGAGCCTCTCTTGTGAGTAGTCCCAGGGGCTGGCCTCTGGATATGGTTAGTGGCAGCAGGTAGAAGGAGCTGCTTCCTTGTGGTCTGTCGGTACAGATAGTGAACCGTCCGCGTTCACTGTTACAACCAGTAGGACGCCGGCGGTTTGTTTGGCCGCGGCTTAAGGAGCCTACTGCGCGTGCGCCGGGGGAGGAGCTAACTAATGCCGTGCGCGTGCGCCGTTGGGAGCCGCTGAGGTCCGTCGTGCGCCTGCGCAGGCCAGGGTCGCAGCCCCGGGACAGAACCGAGTAAGTCCCTTACACTATAACAATAGACCGAACAGCAGCAAGTAGCCTGCCAGGGGTTCGGCTTAGCCAATCCAGATGTTGGATCGGCTGAGTCGAACTCCTCCTGAACTTCGGGTCGGCCGAACATTCGGGTCGGCCGAACACCAACCTTCCTGACCTCTCCCAGCCTCCCTTCGGCTGTTCCACGTGCGTCCAGCACGCACCTGATTCTGCCTGTGTCCAACACAACTCTCCTGAGCTCTGGTCCAGACTCCTTATAAGGCTGCCTTATAAGGCTGCTCTCAGCCACCTGATCCACCTATACTGGTTATTGGCAACACCTGGCCCCAGGAATAGAGATTCCATCCCACTATAGTCCAGAATACCTGGAAGGAACTTAAAAGTCAATTTCTTACCTGGAAAAGTTTTAACATCCTGGAACCTCTTAGCCCCTCTAACTGAGTGTCCCTGGGGACAATGTTGTCAAATTACATTGTGGCATTGCCACACCCTTCTACAATACTTAGTGAAGAACTCCCAGTAAATTGTGTTGTAGGCTGTGTTTTGTCTGAAGCTGCCAAAATGGGTGTCTAAAATGATCTTTGAAGGACTGATTTACTGTCTGTAATTATTTTACCTATAGTGAAGTAAGAAACTTTTATAACCTATATGAGATATAAATTATATACTATATATGTCTCATTTTGCCTTAACATGTCCAGGTTGAGTTTCTAAAAGATTTATTTTTGTTTCCCCTGCAGCACTGTAGTGACAATGCCCATCACTGTCAGTCTGACATGAACATTGTGGGCGCTTGGAAGAGAGGATACACTGGGAAGAATGTTGTAGTCACCATTTTGGATGACGGCATTGAAAGAAACCATCCTGACTTGATGCAGAATTATGTAAGTTGTTAGCCACATTCTATAATTGTAATTAGCCAACCATCTGTACTTTGAATGCAACAAAAGAATGCACCAGAACACTTGGGTAATATTTCACATATACTTGCTTCCGGAGATAAATATAAATACTCCCAACCCAGAAAAAGCTAAAACTCTCATGTTGTCAGGCTGTAGAATATTCCTTAGATCCCTTTTGAACCCTTAGCTTAATTCAACTAAATTTCTTCCAGGAGCATCAAACAAAAGGTGTTCAATGCCTCAGAGTTTGGTTTCTTTCTAAAGCAGCCACAGTCTGAGACAAAAATCCTGTCCCTTGTGGGCATGCTGCAGAGTGGAATATTTGCTCTCTGTGTGGAAGCAGTGGACTCTCTGTAGAGGTTTGATGCCAGCCTGCTGAATCAGGGCTAGAGCTCTTCAAAAAGTAGAGAGCATAAGCTCTCCTGATTGCAGAGCTATAGGTCTGACTCAGTAGGGGTATGTCTGATCTCCACAGAGAGACCACTGCCTGCATGGAAGGAGTTATCTCTCTGCAGAGGTTTGGCTCCCCCTGCTGAGTCATAGCCCGTGTTCTTCAATAAGTAGAGAGAACATAAATGTTGCTGATTGCAGAGCTATAGGTCTGACTCAGTATAGGGCATGTCTGAGCTCTGCAGAAAGACCACTGATTCCCTACAGTGAGCAAGGGTCCTTATCCACAGCATGCTGTCAAGGAAAAAGCCTTTTCTATTCAGGCTGTGGCTTCTGTAGAAATAAAATGAACTGCAAGAATGTGCACACCTTTTGTTTGGAAGTACCTGGAATGTATTTAGCTGATTTAAACTGAGATTTCAATTTTGGCTTCAAGCAGTTTCCTATTGAACCGCTCACCCTACTGCTATGTGTCTCTCCATTATCCTACAGCTGCCAGTTGATGAATAACTACATTTCTGAAGAAGTTCTCTCGAAACATGGTGAAACATTTTTCACAGGAATGAACTCCATTATAATTCAGTGATTTTGTGTATATATAGAATGTTTGTCATCCACAATATGTTAGGGTAAAGTTTTATATAGCATAGCAGACAGGGGTCACTCATTTAGTCTATACAAAGGATATTTAAGTGTATAAAACACAAGAGACATGAATATGGATTTTACCCAAGTAATTTTATTTTATATTTGTTACTGAGTAAACATTATTTTGGAATAAGTAATAAAGGCATGCACATACATGTATGTACTGTCAGACGTTCCAGCTGTTTTATACATCTATCACATAGCCTCACCACTAAAGTATTTGTAATATTCATAGTGGTAAAAGTGATTTCTCAATAATTGCAGATGGACTGCCACCATGCAGCCCCCAAGCAAAGCTTAACAGCAGCAGACCTTATATATGTTGTTTTC